ACCTATCTCGAAACACACTGGGTAAACTCCCTTTCCCAGTGTGTATGTAGTGAACGCCCTTTCAGTCTTGCCTCATGCAGTATAATGGTTCAAGCCATGGATCAAGCTTCTTCTCCGGACTCCGGTTGTGGCTGAAGCTGGAGCATTGCATCTAGCTACTGTCATTGCTAGGAAACTCAACATTCAGAGACCTATCTTTGGCCAAAGCTGCTACTGCTAACGACATCAATTCTGCTCTTACTTGTCGACCAGCTGCCGGGGAGAATCATCCTGGCGACCCAACAAACCCTCATGCTGCCGGGGAGAATCATCCCGGCGACACGACGAATAATCTTGCAGCTGGGCGAATCATCACAGAGTCGGGGAGAATCATCCTCGCGACATGGCGAATCGTCAGTCTGCCGTCTACTATACAGACTAGATTATGACAAACTGACCATGTCCGCGCGATTGAGTTAAACCGGATGCCCAAATCCTTGTGGAGCAGGAGGCCAACCGGTCACGCGACTGATAATAAATCGCATTGTTCTTCTCTAGTGCTGCCTTTCACTGCCGTCTATCACTCGGTGGTCGCATGGTGTTTACATGTCTCGTGGCTGCTGCCACTTTTTGCAATGGAGTACGAAGTACATGAAAATCACCTGAGCCCCAAGTGGTGAGTAGTCGTGAATATTACGGTCGTGCCTGACCAACGATGGGGAAGGTTGTCTATGACACCGGTTGGTACCGGCCGCCTCATGGTCCCGAGTCTCTAGGGGGTGAGCCAGTCGGGCCAGGTGATCACGCTCAAGTAAAATCGCTAAACGCGCAGCCTCCAACTTCCATCCGGAGTATCGATGGGGATCGGTGTGTTCAGAAGTTGTTCGGCCTCTCAGGCCGCGACTATCGGGGCCACCGTGCGCTACCACCACTAGTGTTTCGAGGCGTCTGAAGTAGGATCTACCAGTGGTGGCGTGTTTGCCATGTAAACCCCCTCCGTAGGGGCGCGTCACTCATAGCTCCCTCCTCAGAGCTGGACTCAAGAAGAGGGTACATCGAGTTGGAATGCACCATGTCGACCAGATATGTACTAGAAGGTTTATAAGGACGGGACCTCTGGGAGCATGTCCGACACGCCCGCCCGACTAGCCAATACGGAACGGGCTCTACTGTCGTTGACACGGAAATGCACACCACCACGTGCCGGCTGCGTGACATCAGCCAGCGGAGCATCGGGATGCAATTCTAAGTCATCGGTGGAGAAGTTGAGTGAACCGAAGCAAATGAACTGCCTTGGATCCAGTCCCCCGCCTGTCGCCGATGAAGAAGAAACCATCCACACCATATCTTGACAAATGCTAGGTTCCAAGGTGGCACTAACTGTTATGGATAAAATCCTGACAATGAGTATAGGGGTATGAATGGTGGAGTGTAGAGACTATCGAGGTGCAAATGAGTGTACACACAAGGATGTATACATGTCCATCACATCGATAGTGGAGGTAATACCCTATTTCGTGTTGGTGTTATTTTCTCTTGTGTATAGGATCTAAAAGGATTACATAGTATTGCGAACCATCGGGCCAGTACCCCAGGGATGGCTTTGTATAGAGTGCGCCATGTTGGGGTTGATCGACCATGGTCAGGAGACACACCATCGACCCGCGAACCTGGCTACTATGCTTCAACCTTTTTTAGGGATAAAGCTAAGCTTTATTGATTCCACATGAAGTGGTATAAAGAAGGATCTTGGTGATGGGTCAACCAAAGTTGTCGCCCTTGATCAAGAGTGTTTGAAAACTTAGCTAACCTATTTGC